AGAATATAATGTTAATTTAAAAGACACAAACAATGAGATCCTGCTCAGCATGCAGTGAACATTACAAACTGGATACAAAAAGACCTCCAGGGGTGGATTGCTCCTTTCAGATATAAAATATGTTTCACAGCAGACAGCACATGGCAGAACAAAATGGCCTCCACTTATCTTAACAATTATACGTTGCTAAGTCTGAGGTATTAAATCAAGGGGGACATGTCAGAAACAGCAGTAATCCACAATCCTCTCTTCCTGTCCTCATTTCTTACTCTTTTTCTTTCTCCCCCTCTTCCCCCCTCTGCCTTCCCTTCTCTCCCTCTTTCTCCCCCTTCCTTTCCTCCTTACTCTGCTTCTTTCTCCTTCATCCCTCCCTCAGCAGAACTACAGGGGCTTGCTTGTTGTCACGTCAGTGTTTTTACAGCCTGGCATTAGCACAGGGCAGCATTCAGTCAGGACACTGCATTCACTTTGCCTCCCCTATAATTCACATGCTCATGTGAGAGTGTGCTGCCTTCGCTCCTGCTCATGAATTGACCCTGACTGAGCATCGCCGGCCTTTTGACAGCCCGACAGACCCTTTCAGAGGGCTACATTTCTTCATTTGGGAGATACCACGTCCTCTTATAAAATGTCTTATTTGCTGTGTGTGTACTGTATATTGTCAATCATCACTTCTTTGCACGGAGACGGCAATAACAGGAAAATCCTGAAGTGGGAGAGAAAAAGATAATTTTGGTGTAGAGGGGCTCAGGAGTTGGTGCGATTCCTCTGACTCCCTCGTCTCCTCCAGTAAAACGTAGAGCGTGCGGTGGGCTGACTGGTTTCCTCTGCTGTGAACGCACCACTCTCTTCTGGGGAGCCATGCTGAGACATCGGCTGATTGTAGATTGATAATCAAGGGGGGTAAACATAATTACATCGCCTTAGAAATTAATGAACGCATTGATCGCCCACTCGAAACATTATCAGCATATTTTTGTTTAAGCCACAGGAATCTCGAGTGGGGGGGGGGGGGGAACAGAATCACGGCTTCTAGGATTTGCAATATCACTGTGGTTTCCAACACAGTTAGTTTCTTCACAGATCTTGCCAATACTTGTGGGGGGGTTTTAAACGCCGATGTTGGCACCTTTGAAGTGCCTCTCAGTGTCCAGATGTAAATTCATGCAGGGAGAAATGTGATAAGCTAATGATGTCTCTGGAGACTAGAAGGAATATAACCAAGGGATAAACATCTCTGCATATCTGAGTGGACTTTCTTTCCCCTCTACGCTGCTGTAGAAGTGTTTGGGGCCCGAACAGGAGCAGATGGACCGAGCCGGCTTTGATGTGCTCGGGGGTCATGTGTATCTGCACTTTTATCAAGGTACACAAGCGTGCAGAGTAAATACGCCACGCCAAAACTCTGGGAAGGTCTCTGGGCAAGGCACAGAAGGGGAATTTCCACTTTGACATTCCAGAGAGGGTGTAGACTGAAATATTTACTCTATGATTGTGCAATACAGACCTTATATATATATATATATATATATATATATATATATATATATATATATTCAGTGTCTGTCGTTTTATCCCCATTTGCATGCCACAAAGAGACATTCCATAATGCTGCGCCGCCTAGGAACAGAGCGCACTCCTGCAAAACATGTCCATCAAGGAGAAAATAAAAATAGGCTGTTTCCTCTAAATTCACTCAATCAATAATTCATGACGCGCACAGAAGCTTGATTTATGGAGGAATTAAATGCTGCGGACTGGGCCTCACAACGGCCGTCCGTCTCGGGGACATGCCAGGCCAAATTAAACATGAAAGGCAAACGCTGAGAACAACCACATCATCTCACATGAGTTGAGCTATTCGAGGACTTCGGTGGCACGCGCTCCGGCTGGCCTGATTGGACAATATGACATTGGCTATTTGAGCGGGAGCCGCATAATTTGTTTGGAGATTTTTCATGAGTTATCTACGTCGAAGTGGGTCTCCAAGAGTCAAAGAGCTGCATTAATACTATTTGGCAACTGAAGGAGGAGATCAAAGGCAAACGTGTACCTGCTGACCCGTGGGGATCATGTGACTGCGTGTGCCTCTCTGACCCTTAACTTTGGCTTTAAAAATGGAAAACACAGAACATACCAGCTTTAGTTTTTTTTAAAATTAAATCTGAATCCTCTCTTTTGTGAGAAATTTGTAATATTTTTTAACGTTCAACATTTGAGCTGTTACGTTTGTATTTCACTTAAAAAGTGAAAAGTAGCAAGCTAATGGAAGCTAGTTGGTGCCTTGTGACATGAGCCTCATGACATTGTCAGTTGGTACCACAAAGTCACTTCCATGGAAAATAATAAAGTAGGAGGCACTATCACTACAATAACTAAATAAAATAAAAAGTAAAAAGTATTCGTTTTTTGGTGATTTCGTACCAAGTAAGTACCCGTTTTCATTCCCAACTCGTCTCATTGACGTTAGTGGGGATCACTATCTAACACTCTGAGTTGCACAGCGCCTCAAACTATAATGCTCCACTATGGTTGCAGTAAACGCATGGTTAACTTTGTGGATTCAAACAAAAGCACTTGCTTAGGTTTAAGAAAAAATCATGGTTTGGGTTAAAATAACATTTCAGTGAAACTTAACATTGTGAACACAAACACAACAATAATACATGGTTCCACAGCGGTCTCCTGGGTGTGCTTTTTTGTCCCAATTACGCTTCCTCTCACTAGGTAGACTTTATTACTCTTTATTATCACCACACTCTATAAGCACTAGCTCTGAGTATCTACCATTGACACAGAGAGGTTTACATTATAGCTACTGCGAAGCCTGGTGCGTCTCATAATGAAACTAAACGGTGCCTTGTGTGTCGGTATCAGACGGTGAGCGGTGTGGCAAAGCGTAAGTATTTGACTCCCTGGGAATGAACGGGCTGCTTGTGCGCACGTGTTATAATTCATGGCTTCAGTTTAATTAAATTGTTCCGACTGTTTGATTAATTTATGGGCAAGATTTAAATACTGATATAATGTTGGCAGTGTACAGGGCCAAGTCATTGATTCCATCCGCCACCTGCTTGTGGTTGTCCTTGGTTGTAGTTATTCTGGATATAGAATCTTTCATTAAGCTTTAGCTTGGGGATGAGTTATCAAGTCATGTTGACAACACTTGCTTTGCACAGGATTGTTGTTGATAAAAGGCAATTAACGAGGCTATGGAGAGTTTGTGGATTATATCTTCGGCAATATGCTGACTTGAAGCAGGTGCACTGCACTTCCTGCTTCTGGGAGAAAGGCTGGTCAGCTGGCTCACCTATGTACTGAGCACAAATTAACCAAAACGTCACAAATTACAAATGAATAAATCGTGGCTTAGTTTTATTTATTTTTTCTCTCTATGGCCACTCATGGACTCCATAGCTTTCTGAGAAAGAGAGAATTTTAAAGTAAGACTACTTTTACCGAACAGCAACTGTGGCCATTTTTTCAGGATAAAATGCTCAAACAGTAGAGTAGTAGAAGAGTCATACGATCAGCTCTACAACTATTATTCTACAGCTAAATTGGGCACGTGTGTTTTATTGCTTATGAGTTCAACCTGTCGTTTGTAAGGTTCTTTTTTCGAAAATTTGATATAAATATACTCACTTTAATTTATGTGTGTGTGTGTGTGTGTGTGTGTGTGTGTGTGTGTGTGTGTGTGTGTGTGTGTTTAAACATTTAAATGCTAATCTACAAGGGAGTTTTTAGATGTCTTACTTAAACAATGGGTTTAGAGATAAAGGCAAATGTGTATGTGCGCGTGCGTACGCGCGAGCGACTTGAAGAGGGCAGAGCCGCGGTGCACTGCTGATTCAGTAGTACATGATGAAATCACTTTGGCTGCCTCTAAATGCCTCAAATCACTGGAGGAAAGTCCGGGAAGTGAAGACGAGACTGTGCTGTTCACTCGGGGATAATTATCCAGCTAATTAAACAGAGCCGGGGTTAGTGGTCTTACAGCGGGGCAGGCCCAACACGTATCCCCGCAAAACTACAGCCAATAAGGCCCCGCCGTTACAGTCACAGTAAATAAGACGGGAAATGAAAAAGAGACTGTCCTGTAGTCACTTTTCATTGAGAGTGTGACTTTCAGCCGAATTCCTGGATTTTATGATTAAAATGCAAATGAAGGCTTGGACGTGGTCGCGGGGAAAGGTAGGCCGGGCAAACAGCATGGAGGGATAAAGTGTGTTGAGAGACAAACTATGTTCTGCAGTGTGAGGGCAGCAGGGAGGATCTGTGGCTTACAGCCATCACGGAGCTGCTGGAGGAGACATTCTTTACTCTGACGAGGGGAGGAGGGGAGAGAGAGAGAGAGAGAGAGAGAGAGAGAGAGAGAGAGAGAGGTGAGCAGAGCGCGCACGTCGCACTATCAACTGGATCCATCTAAGAAAACAAGTCGCGGGGAGTCCGGGCTCTGAGCTGCGTAGGTAGGCTACTAAAGGCAAGTTTGAGCTCCGCACTGCACAGCGCTCCGGACGGACGCAGCTGGCCGGCATGGCCCGTGGCGAACACTTCGAAGAGCGCGTCCTCACCGTTCGGGCGGAGCGTGGAAGGGGAGAGGTGGGCGCCGCGATCACCCTGCCGCTCCTCAGACGTTGTTGTTGAGTTAAAAGCGGAGGAGCTCCGTTGTGAAGCGCCCCGGAGCTGGAGAACCAAACATACGCGCGCGCGCACACTCACACACACACACACACACACGCACACAAACTAAAGTGCGGACAGCGGTGAGGACGGACGCGCAGCCACGGCCGAGGGGACCCATGCGGGCAGATATGCTGTTCCGTAGACCCACCGGGTTCACGCTGCTCATCGGAACCGACTCGCACCGGCGTTACCGAACGGCCCTTTACTCGTGGGCTTACAGCGGGACCGCATGAAGGACAGAGGCTCTGAGAAAGCGGAAAAGTTGAACGCGGTAGCGGGTTTTGTAATGGATAAAGGCTCGCCAAAGGTACAGTGGATGTTTCTCAATAACATAGTTGGAGAGAAATAGAGGAAATAAATGACGGGCCTTTTTCAATCGACTTGCTTTTTTTAATTCAATTTTGAATGACATTTTTAATATGTTCTTAAATCTTAAAACCGAGCTCCTATAAAAACACACCGTTTCCAGCAGAAGCTCCACGCGCCCTGCAGTCATAGTCATAAACTGACATTTGATCTTCAATTCCTAAAGACTTTTTTAAAGATGAATTAAAGCGGTTGGCCGATGTATTTGTAGGTTAATTAGACGTTTCGTGGAGTTAAAGATTACTGCACTACAAAGCTCCACATTTTTCACCCGAGAGAAAACCGGACTTTTTTTCTGAAGGGAGGCTTTCACTCTCAATGCACTGCACGGTTTTCAATTCTCCCTTTGAAATGATTCATTCAGATGAACACCGCTCACCGGGCAGGCTTTGAAGTGTACCTGATCCGCCTCTTTATCGCCTCTTAAATACCTGATCCATTTTAAACTTTTAATTGCGTTTCTGTCGCTAAATCCACTTCTAATCGGATTGTGCTGGCCACATATCTCAGCGTTCATCTGGCGGTGAGAAACTGTGCTCTGTTGGCTGGAAATTAAATCAAAATGAAAGAAAAGAAAAGAGAGAAGAAAAAAAGTCTGTCCCTCACTCCCTCATTGATCTGTCCATGTCCACCATCTATGAAGTCTGGCGTTGTCCAGTAAAGACCAACTGGATATCTGCAGCTTTTTTAGGTTATTATTCGGATGCTTGGTGACATTTTATTTATGCAGCTATAATAATCTTGATGCTGCTGCCTTCTGCTGTTGATTCTGCTGCTGTGGCAGCACATTTTATCGCCTCATGTGGTCGCTTATAAAGCTTATTTGATTAAATTGAGCTCTTTCAATTTAGAAAAGTAGATCACAGATGTGTGTCAAAGAATGATTTCTCCATCTCTGCCACAAAGAGCCCGCGCAGGCTCCATCTCATCAGCGCACAGCACGGGGCCAAGGCAAATAGACCCTTTACTACTTTCTCCTTTTTTACATTTTTTTTTACAAAATATAGTTCCCTGTTACAGCTGCCAGACATGACAAATCTGAAATGACTAATTATTTTCTGACTAAGTGGCTACTCCTGCTCCTTGACGAAACCTGCAGGACTCATGGCCGTTCCTGCGCTTAACATTCAGCCCATGGTTCCCGTTATTGTGTGTCGCTCACCATCGACTAAAGGTGGAGCTTCAGGGAAGCTGAAAGCCACCGATGACAAGCAGTATCTTTCAATTATGTGGGGCAGGGGGGGGGGGGTATTTGAGGGGTCATAAAACTAGGAATGATGGATCTGGGGGTGTACTGTAATCCAATGGCCTTGTGCTTTACTACAAGCCTCTCCATGCTGAAAAATAGCCTGTATCGATCATTTATTGCAGGTGGAGGGACTGAATTATTCTCCAATCCCATTCCATTTGACAGCTCATGTATGTCACTCCGGTAAGAGCCTGAGCCGATCTGCATGGCCCCCGTTCCTCGATTGCGTCTCCTTTGTTTTGTAATTCCACTCTTTACAGTCTTAAATCTGGATTTTGGTGGTGGTGTGTTCAGGACGACACGTTATAACGAGCTCCTCCTTAGGCCACCGGCAAAAGAATCGCCTCTGTTTACTGTAAGCACTTGTGTTTTAGTGGTGCACCTCTACCCACAGTGTCGTCACGTGTACTCTGTGCTGTATTTAGTTTTTCTCCAGGAAACATCTTGTGCATCCATGTTGGCACACACAGACGTGATGTCTGCATTAGCCTTATCTGTTTTTAGCATGTTTTCCATTAAGCAGCGTCGAGGCTGCTCAGAACCTCTGTGAATCTGTGAGTGTGTCCTTGCAGTGCTCTATTCCCTCCTTTGATACAGCGGACGGGATAAAAGCCTTCTTTATGTCTGTGAAACCGGATGTGCAAGAGCTGTTCTGAATATTTATCAGATGGTTAGACTCTTTTTTTTGAATAGCCGGTGCAGAATTTGTCATCTGCAGTGAACGATGTGTTTTGTGACTCTGTCTTTGTGCTTTGGGGAGAGGGGGAGAGAGCGAGGGATGGAAAGACAGTTGGTATGTGTGTGTGTGCATGTTTGTATGTCAAATACAGAGACAGAGGAAGAGAGGGGGAATACACACCCCCCTTTTTTCCCTAGAGAACAGGCCACCCCTAAATATACTAATCCAGCATTTCTTTGTTTTCCCACAGGTCTCTGGATCCAAATGTCACCCCCCTTGGACTCTGCCCTGGTCGGGGACCAGCAGTGTGTGACAGACAGGCGAGTGGAGCCTGCGGTGGCTCTCTACTGCGTGGCTTCAAATTGGCCCTGGCTGAGCTCTGCATGGAGCAAGGAGTGAAGAGTCCTGCTATGGTCTGATGTCTCAGCATGGATGGAGTCAGTCAGAGGACTGGCCACCACTAATGAGACCACCATTTTTCAGCTGAGGACTAGCATTTACAGGATTACTCCCACGGTTTCCCCTTATTTTCCAGCTAACTGCATCATTACATAACTCCCCTAGTTGGACTGTTCGTGGGGCGGGTTTTTGGTGGATATATACATCATTGCCTTTCTGATTTTCATATTTGTGAAAAAAAAATTTTGTTTCCCTTTTGCCGTTTTGTTTTTCCACTATGGAGTTTCTGGCTGGACCCTGGAATAAAGATTGGGCTTCATTCTTGCAATTTTGGTTGACTGTCATCCTAAGCCTCCAAATGCAATTCAGCCCAGGTGCCTCTTGCCCGCAAGAGTGTCGTTGTGACACGCCGTTTGTGTACTGCAACGAACGCAGCCTGACATCAGTGCCTCTTGGGATAAAGGAGGGCTTCAAGGTCCTCTACCTACATAACAACCAGATAAACAATGCTGGCTTCCCTATGGAACTTCACAATGTGGCCACTGTTGAGACTGTGTATCTCTACGGCAACCAGCTGGATGAGTTTCCCATCAATCTGCCCAAAAACACCAGAGTCCTGCATCTTCAGGAGAACAATATCCAAACCATCTCCAAGGCAGCCCTGGCCCAGCTGACTCGACTAGAGGAGCTGCACCTCGATGATAACTCCATCTCCACAGTGGGGGTGGAGGAAGGGGCCTTTAGGGAGGCGATAAGCCTCAAACTCCTCTTCCTCACCAAGAACCACTTAAGCAGCGTTCCCATTGGCCTCCCCGAGGACCTGAAAGAGCTGCGTTTGGACGAAAACCGCATAGCTCACATCGCAGAGGAGGCCTTTCAGAATGTGACACGCCTGCAGCGCCTCCTGCTGGACGGGAACCTGCTGACGGACGAGGGCATTGCACCAGGGACCTTCCAGGACCTGGAAACCCTCCGTGAGCTGGCCCTGGCCCGCAATTCACTCACCTTCCCCCCTCCCCTCCTACCCAGCCAGTCACTGGTCAAACTCAGCCTGCAGGAGAACCAGATCAACCAGATCCCCGTGGCAGCCTTCGCTGACCTAATCAGGCTGGAAAAACTGGATATCTCCAGCAACCAGCTTCGGACTCTGACACAGGGTGTGTTCGATGGCCTGTCGAGCCTTCGGCATCTCATGGTGCGCAATAACCCCTGGCGTTGTGACTGTGCTGTGAAGTGGGTGGTGGTCTGGCTCAAGTCCTTGCCCACCTCCATCAACGCCCGGGGGTTCGTTTGCCTGAGTCCGGACAAGGTGCGTGGCATGGCAATCAGAGAGCTCACGCTGGATATCATAGAGTGTCCGGTAGAAGCTGACCAGCCGCCCTGGCCCACCCTCCGCTCCACTCCCCCTCCGCCACCCACAACCACCCCCATTACCACCATGTCCTCCACCCTCATCACCACATCCATCCCTTACTACCTTGACTCACCCTCCCCTCCCTTACCCCCAGTCCACAACAACCCCCCCGGGCCCCTGCCTCCTTACGAGGACCCGCTTCAGATCTCCTTCCAAGTGGTCAACTCGACCAGCATCGAGGTGAGCTGGGCTTCCTACTTCACCGTCACAGCCTACAAGGTCACTTGGGTCAAAAGGGGCCAAAGCCAAATAAACGAAGGAATGCGGGAGAGGACGGTGAGCGGGGCCCGGCGGCACATTAGCCTCAGCAACCTGGAGCCCCGATCCATGTATCGGATCTGTGTGCACGTTCTGGACACCCTTAACTCCTACAGGCCCGGAGAGGATACTATATGCTCCGAGGCCAGGACCAAGGCTGTTGTGTCTACCAAGCCTCCCGGCAGAGAGCAAGCTCCCCAGGAGAGCATCAACTCCACGCTGCTAATGGCTGGGATCATAGGCGGGGCAGTGCTCATCATCCTGGTTACGCTGCTCAGCCTGTTCTGCTGGCACATGCACAAGAAGAGCCGGTCGTCTTCGGCCAAGTGGAAATACAACCGGGGCAGGAGAAAAGACGACTACGGCGAGGCCGGAACCAAGAAGGATAACTCCATTCTGGAAATGACTGAGACCAGTTTCCAGATAGTGGCGCTGAACAATGAGCAGCTGCTCAAGGGAGATTTCCGCATCCAGCCCATCTACACGCCCAACGGGGGCATCGGATTTAGAGACTGTCACCTCAGTAACAACAGCATAGCCTACTGCAAGAGCAGCAACGTGCCCAGTACAGAGTTCTGCCACACGTGATGCAGCAGCACATAGTACAGCGGCATTCACACACACACACACACATAATAGAAACACTTATTACATGCATAAATACACACACATACCCCGTTTGTGAAGACAATAAAAAACTTAAAAATTCTAGTGAAATATAACTGTACTATATATATTTCCAACTTCTGTCTACGATGTAATTTATACTGTGGATGCTATCTTTTTTATTCTTAGAAAAGAGATACAAATGTTTCTTTTTTATAACCAGCAGGGTTTTGAAAGTTGTTTTAATGGTCAATACTGTACATGAACATGGATTTGTACAATCAAGGCACCCTGGGTGTAGCTTCTGACTGTCAGCCTTGGAAATGTTGGGGCGCTTAGAGGACCGGGATCCTTTGCTAACCACAGAAGCAGAATATGGCCTTTTTTGCTCTTTGAAACACTGAGAACACTCCCCAGTCCAACAGAACAGTAGTAAAGACAACACAGCACAGGGGAAATCCAAACAGTGCTGATTAGAGCTCTCTGGAAATATAGCACTGGTTCATTGGTGGTATGTTGTAAAAAAGGACTGAAGTGCACTTTCTTATTAATGGAAGCCAGGCAGGAAATGAGCGGAGGTGGTGATCGCATGTGAGGGATTGTGGACGGCTGAGTTGGGAGAATGTCATCGGTGCTGTTGAAAGGCCTCGACTGAGATTTCCCAAAAGTGCCTTAACACTAAAAGCGTCTTTGTTCTCCTGGTTTACAGTTGGAACAAAGGTGGGCTTAGTATGAGAGACACTTTTTTTGGAAAACTCTGGAAAAGGATGTCATTTTAGTGAGGCGGTGCAGTTATTAACACAAGTTTAAAACGGAACAAAGGATTATTGTCCCTAATGAGGTGCATGGATGTGCTGAGTCTCGCAGATCCTTTTGAAGAAATTCCCAAATTAGTTCTACATCTTTCTTAGTTTTATCCCTGTTTTGGCAAGTGAGGCCACAAGGGGGCAGTTTGCCTCAGCGCCGTGTGTGGGACAGAGGAACAGAGGGCAGGGCAGACAGAGAGGAGGACAAAAACAAAAGCTGCATAGATCACTTTACCTCCACCATTCCCCTGGAGTCCATTACCCAGACGACATTACTCATCCGGCTACTTAATGATGTGGAATCATTTCAAACCAACAGTGTTTTCTGTGTTTGGTGGCTGAATGATATGGATTTTCACCACTGTGGTCTGTCATGAGGGGAAAGACTCTGTCTCTCCCTGTGTGTGTGTGTGTGTGTGGTTGGAGAGTGATGAATTCTGAGAAAGCACACACATAATGACAATCATACACCCACTTATTTGACCCATGTCCCGGCAGCGTTCATTAGGCTCTGTGATAAATGAGGAAATCCCAACATGATCCTCACAATGCTGCACAGTTGTGACCGAGCAGCTCGTCCAGCGTTTCATCACTCACCCCTTTGTTCTTCATTGATGGTGCGCTCACCTGAACAATGCAGCCGCTCACTTCACATCATCAGTCCCTGCAGTGATGATCCTCACCCCGTCTCCTCTCACTGTCTGTCTGTCCGCCTCACGGCCCCTCAGCTCCTACGCATGCTGTGGCCGCAGCTCTTTGCATGCGAGGTGGCAGTGAGAAGTCTTCATTATGCACTTCTTAAGCCGACTTTATTTGATTTGACAAGATTTTATTTTGAGGGGCCAAGCTTAAAGAGCCCTCCCTCCCTTTTCCCTCTCTCCTCATAATCCTCGACCAAAAAAGGGAGAAAATATGTAGACCTTATTTTCACTTGGCTGCATGGAGCTCACGCTGGGAGACGAGAGTGTCTGTTAACTCTTTGCGAGACGCACAGATTATTCAGCCGCGCAGAGAGCCGACGCAAAACTGGGCCGAACAATTTAGACAAAGTGATTTTTAAGGGCTTGTACTGGAGTTATTCCAGAGTATCTCTGAGAGGATTTATCTCAGCAGTCGGGATATCTCAAAGAGTAGCTGCATTTACTTTAATTCCAGCAATAGCTCCGATCACCATCACCTGGGCTTTAATTTAAGGTGCCAGACTCCCACAGCCTGAACACTCTGAACAGTAACACAGTGAATGAATGGAATCTGTACACATCATGTAGTGTCACATTATGTCTTAAAATCTTGTTTTCATCAAGACAACTGACACATTTTTGATTTATTTGCTGGATGTTCATGTTGAAAAGATAAAATCAAGAAAATACTGAAAGCAATAGTTCAGTTTTGGGAAATTCTCTTCTTCACTTTCTTGCTGTGAGTTATACGAGACGATTGATACCACCCTGATGTCTGTATGCTAGATATGAAGCTATTGATAGCAGCTCGTGAGCTTAGCTTAGCATTAAGACTGTAAACTGGGGGAAACAGCTAGCTGGCTCCGTCCAAAGCTAAGAAAATCTGCCGTAAAAGCACAAAGTGTCACTTTTACACCTTGTTTTTTGTATGCCTTAAACAAACGACATATATTGTGTTAGCGAGTTAAGTTTCCTTTAGACATAGCTAGGCTAGCTGTTTCCCTCCGTTTCTTTATGCTAAGCTAAGCTAACTGTCTGCTGGTGGTGCTTCATATTTACTGTACAGACGTGTGATGTATCTTAATGAAATATTTGGCTGTCAACCTATTCCTTTAAGTGAAAAATAAGTAGTAATGTAAAATAACTTGATTTGCGTTGAAAAAATGAGTGATTGTAATGGCAGATGACGTTCACTTTCTCTTTTCAGCAAAATCTGATTTAAAGAATCAGTACTTCAATATGTTCAGATTGGGTTTATTACTGCTAATATCTTCTGTGGTTATCAAAGCATCTCCACTTATAATTTGAACCTTTTTCTACTAATACCCACAGCTGACCATAACCCCAGCAAGAAACACTTTATTATTTAGTATTCTTTGTTGGAGATGAAAGCCCTATTTGAAGTCCCATGCTGATCAAAAGGGGGGGGGGGCTCAAACTGTTACAACATAGAGCTTCTCCCCCCCGTCTGTGAATGTGTAACAGAGAACCTACAGATATTTGCCTTAACTTTTATGCAGGCCTGAATGATTAGCTCAGAGAGCGCTTAAGTGGGAGGAAGAAAGAATGAGACAGCGACGAGAACGCTGAAGAGAAAGCACATTTCTCCAACATTTTGCAGCCGTGGTTGGCGGCGACTATAACAGTATTAACAGGAAGAACAACACTAAGCGTGTAGGCACAGTAGCTAATGAGAGACTGTTCATCCAGAGAGCCAGACCCTACGCCGTGCACAGCTAACGATTCAGTCAGACGGGAGCTTCGGTGGCAGTTTTGCAGCGTACATTACTCTTAATTTTCTATTTGCTTGATGAAAGAACGCGGAGGCGTGACCGATGGAATTACACGAAACGTGTCACAGACCGCTAGCGTCAGGTTATTACTGTTTCAGAGGGCCAAGTCATTTCCCTTAAAGCTTATTGAATCACGTTGAAATAATGTTTAATCTCCGAGAGGTCAACTCAAAGAAAACCCGAGTGGTTGAAGACGTTTAAAGTCGTCTTCTCTTCCTGCAGGCCAAACCTTCACTGCTAATATCCATCAGTAACATTCATCAAAGGGGTTTTGCATGTACTGTATTTAGCTTCATAGCCTTTCATTTTTCATTTCTTTTCATCAAGCAACCAGCCAGTGGTGGTTTTTGGTAGAGTATGAGCAGGCGGACAGAGAGGTTTAGAGGGAGAAGGCTGGAGACTTACAGTGCATGTGAAGCGGCCGTGTCATCGAGACGCTGCAGTGTCACGTTAGCAACCCACACCAAGTTTTCTTAGGAACCAAAGTTAAATTTCTGTTCTCATGATGAAGTATTGATGTTGTTCCATGTATGTGCCTTGAGGTTGAACTTACAATGTAAAGTCCTTGAAAAACCTTTAAATGTTTTTGCACAAACTGTAAATACTTAAGTGAAGCTTTTTGAAAATAAAAGAGCCATTGGATTTGAGCGATCACTCTTTCTTTGTTTTAGACACGGAAATGAAAGTTTGTATTCTGTTGTGCTTTAATGAGCGATCCTACATTCTCTGTCTTTTGCATATTGGTGTTGTGCGCTGGCAAGACATTCGGCTATCTGAGGAGAGAGTTTGTAGATGAACACGGCCTGGCTCAATCTATTTTGGGTCAGACTCTAGTTATTCGGATCAGAGATGTGTGCCGTACCACACCGTGCCAAGTTATCCTCTTATTTCTATACAGCAAGTTTAAGACATCTTAGCCGAGCAACTGCAGCTTAGCATTCAGCTGGGGAAAATCCAAGATACTCTCTGATTCTACTTGAAAGGCACAACTAAGTCCCAGACTCTTTCTCCAAATCCCTGTGTTCTACCAAAGTCCAACGTTTTTTCCTCCCCATGACCACATCCCAGTGTTGCCTCTGCAACCTCCAGCCCGCTAAAAAACCCACATTAGCCCAAACCTAATTCACTATGACAATTAACCACAGGTTTTTTGCTGAAACATGGGAGGGTGTGCCACTTTGGTATTTTGAACGGGAAATGAATGTTTTTCTCAAAATTCCCACATGTCAAAATGTGATTTGTTATTGCACAATTGTAGGCTTTTTGGGGAGGCTTTGGCACTAAAATCATCTACTTTGCTGCTCTCCCCTCCATTTGCGTTGTGTAACGAGCAACATGAAAGGTTTGATCTCACCCCTGTGCATTCATCAGTCAACCACCAAGTCGGTGTGTAAGGTCCTTCTAACTACCAGCTAGTTTCAAACCAGTGATTTGTCAAATTTTGTTGCACCATTAAAAGTTAAAGGGGACACATGCTCATTTCCCAGTTCATACATGTATTTTGGGATTCAACTTGAACATTTTTATATACTTTCGTGTTCAGAAAACACATCATTTTTCTCATACTGTGGTCTGAATTTACCTGTAGTCACTCTCTGTCTGAAACGCTCTGTTTTAGCACCTGTCTCTTCAAGGCCCTCTCCCAAAAAAGCCCAGTCTCGTCTTGCAAAGAAAATACGGTACACCTGTGCGAAGGTAGTTCTCAAGCCGTGGGCAGTATATTCTACTGTGACAGTGGAAGGCGAGCCAAACCCGATTGGATCAGACAACATGTGATTCAAGCAGCCAGACAGCCCATAAATAACTGACTGGGTTGTGTTATTTCATGGTTTGTGGGTTGGCAACACTCCAGATACCCAAATGTATGTGCACAAGTACTGGTAAAGTTCATTTCTCACAGTATGGCCCCTTTAAAAATGTCTGTAACAATGTCCAATTAAAATCAATCATTTTATAAACAGGAAGTGAGTATCACAATCTGTAGCATAGCTTCCTAAATGACAGTTTTAAGGAGCCAAAAGACACATTAACATGTCCTGATATTGTTGGCATGTTTTATTTCAAAACAATTCATGGACAGATATATGCTTCAAAGTTACTATTATTAATATGAAAATATTATATTATGCTAACCTATCTTACATTATTAGGCCACTGCTGCGTTGATTTTGTGACATGCAATTTAAAAGCTTCCCAGTTTACATCATAATTTAACAGCATTGTATCAGGTGTCAGGTCAGATGTGTTTTATATGTTTTATATGACCTATTTTATTATATTCAAATGTTTCATATTGTCAGGCTAACTAATGTTAGTTTGTCAGTTCATTCGGTTAGCATCTGGCAGCTGTATTTATTAATGAATATATAGTAACAACCAGTGGTGGGAAGTACATTTAGTATTACAGTATTAGTATTGTATCTAAGTACTTTACTAGTCTTTTCTTTTTATTCTACTTAATACTTCTACAGCACTACAATCCAGTGGGAAATATTGCAGCTACAGATATGTGTGACTTCAAAAATGTATTTTATGTTAAAATTGCAAGATTCATTCATAAAATATGATGCATTGGGACGGACTGAATAACACAGTAGTAAGAACTAGCTGCACCTGAATCAACCCAAACAGTAAAATGCTATTTTCCACAAGCTATAATAACACAATATTTTATAATAAAACATTTTTCTGCATTATGAGTACTTTTACTTTTGATACTTTAAGTACAGTTAGCTCCTGATATGAGGCAGTGATTTCCAGCACAATTTGTGTCCCGACATTTGTGAATGTTATATGCTTCATTAAAAGAAGAAAAAAGGTTGTGTTTGTCATATTCCATATGGCAGAAACGAATGAAATGAGAATTCTTGCCTTTGAATTATGCGCTGAACAGGTGTTAGCTGTGTTTTTAATCGCTCCCTGCCAAAAGAACATTCCATTTCCTGCTTAATGCCAGCTCTCTCCAACAGCTTCACTTTGTGATCCTCGTTTAAGCATCTTCTAATCAGCCTCAATATGGAGGAAGGGTCATTAAAGGATGTAATTTAAAGCAATCTTATTTCAGGTGTTACAAACATCGACATCTGGTAGACTTTAACAGTGAACGGGTTCAAAGCGGTGCTCTGTTATTCTCATCTTTCATTGGCCTCACTGGCCTTTAATTAAAGGCTGAGTGCAGGTGAGCCCTCTGCCTCTTTCACAGTACTTCAGGCTAATGCGTGTGAGGATGGGTCACTGGATTTCTGCCCATTTGCTGCCAACAGTGAATGCCATGAACATTAAGTAAAAACCAGACTAAATCAACCAAAGATCACCTTGCCCTGCTTTGAAATGATAATCAAAGAAATACTAAATTGGTCCAAACAAGCAGCACGGTTCACATTTATTCCTGTGTGATGGTGAAAGAGAGAACAGCTTTGCAAGTTCTCTTTTCTCTTTTCCTGAGAGTGCTTACTCTATTTGATGCTAGTCTTTTAAATTTGACTTTGAGAGTTGAAAGGGACCAAAAGCACAGCACAGACTCTATAGGAATTCCTCTGACAGCATTTAAGCATGTGAACACAGGGGGGTATTTTAAGCAATCATCAATCAGGAGACTGTTTGCAGATGCAAATTCAATTTGTCCTCCCAGTTTTAGATTACCGAGCTGAAGATTACCATGTGAGGGTAAACGGCAAACACAATCCCTGCCTGTTTTTCTGCTTCAGCGGCTTTGTGCTGTTGCGATAGCAAAGATATGTTCTGTACCAAAATGAATACTGCCTGACAAGTCTCCAGTGCAGCGAGAATTGATTTCAAAACAAGAAAACCACAGCACTTTCTTTAAAAAAAATGTACACAATAAACACTCTCCCCTTTCACAACTCATGAAAAGTAAATGGCCAGCTGCACAGAGCCGTAATTGGCGATAAAATGAGTTTTTACACGGTAACCTTTTGTCAAACTGCCTGAAATCCTCTCAGGCCTTGCAGGCATTTATAGGTGGACACAATGAAAGCACCTCCTGCTGTATACAGTATGATGCAACCTACTAACAGGATCCTGCAACAAATACTAGCATTGTGAAGCTTGCAGTTGTCCGTTTGTGTCGACGCCATATCCTAGAGGCATTGATTCAACATGCCTGGTTCTTTTCCAGGCTGTACTTTCACGATTAGATTCCATTCTATTCTGAAGTACCTAGAATAGCAGGTGTGTTTCTCACATAGCTGTTTGACTGCATTCAATTGTATATTTTTATTGTGTCAATTGCCTGCATTTGAATCAATTGACAAACTACATTGTGTCAATGTATTATTCTGCCAACATAGCACAGTATGCTCAGGATTAGTGTTTTAAGGAGTGAACGTGTTACCATCACTCTCCACTCCCCGCGGTGCACAGCAGACTGTGGGGGCATGGGATAGTTGCTGGTGTAGCAGTGGTGGAAGAAGTGTTCAGATCTGTTACTTCAGAATAAAGAGAAATACTATAAAAAATACTCGTCCAGCATTCAAAATCAGTATCAACTATCATCAGCTAAATGTGCTCGGTGGTTCTGCAGAAAAATGGCCCCTGTTCTTACATCGTCATCTATTGTTGATACTGGATCATTAATACCGATGCATTAAGTGTGTAAGAAATATATTACTGTTCTAGTTGGTGGAGCTGGAGCTAACTTAAATTGCTTTATACATGTTGGTTTTAAAATCCCCATGTTTTTTATGTAAAATCGTAAACATAAAATGGAATCACTCAAGTAGTGTCGGCTTACACGTGCTTCAAAAATGCACTTAAGTCTGCAAAAAGTGTGATATCAACTATAGCCCTATAGCGGCTTTAGTGCCTGATTAAGTAGCTAGAGGTGTTCATCCGGAGTGTAGCATGTTAGCTTCAACATTACAGAAGAAAAAAGATCCCGCTAATAAGAAACAGTGGTTCTCATAAAAGCTCCACATGATCAGCTTTAAATATGCTTTATGAATTCTCTCATCATTAACCTGGTATCTATGGTGCTATGAGCTGATTCAGGGATATATTTTGATAAGATAATGGAAAATCTTTCAAAAAAAAAGCTGCATACACATCTTAGCTATCTGCAGATTCAGTTCATTATGTATAAAATATCAAGAAGTCCAAAGCCTTTCTCTTGTTAAGATAACAATGCCTTGGTTTAAAATTCATCTTGAGTTGTTTGTACATGAAGCTACACAGATTGAAACTCTAATTGGCGATTCCTCCGTCTAGCATATGTTGCAGTGCCGGGTGTCTCAGAGAGGCTGCTGCCGTGAAAAAGGTGATTCCTCCAATCAGTATAGAGAAGTAATTGGTACGGCTCTAAAGAACACTTGTCTGTGTGCTTTCCTTGATTGGAAGTAATTGTGTTTTCACCAACAGCTACTTGAATTTTCCGAAATAAACAATATTAATGTTGTAGAAGGGCGAGCTGGAGCTGATGTTTATGCATGCGCAACACATAACGGCAGAAATATCACTTCACATTTGTAACACAATTATGGTTCTGGCTGCACGTCGTTGTTCCTGATGAGAAAGTCATTCATGGTTTAAACTAAATATGAACCGAACGTTTTCAACAATTAAAACACCACCTGTCAGCAAAACGTTCAGCAAGTTCCCCAGGATATGGGCAGATGAAAGTTTGACTTTCTCCCCTGGATCACGTGCAGCATGGCAGGGCCTCCATGTGTTGGACCAGTGGGTCACAGGAGTCACAATTCCAGGCGGAGCAGAGCAGCTGTGACCTGGAGCCAGACTCCCCGTCTGGTCAGGTCGTAATGAATGAAGACGCTGATGAATAGGGAAGGCAAAAGGCTCAAGGCTTTCTGGAGGTGACCAAGAGGAAACTTGAAAAAATGGTTTCTCTTATTTTATTTTAGGGCTAATCAGGCTCTTGCTCCTTTTCAGAGAAAAAAACAGAACATTTCCAGTGTTATATAAAGTGTTTTCGTGTTTTTTTTTCTAATGAGCATATCAAAAGCGGCAAAGGGAAAGTGAGAGGATGAATAATAGATGCCGACAAATGACTAAGATCGCAAAAGATGGGAATAATTCTATATTTGAGAATGGAACTCTGACCCTTAATGTCTCGATGGAGATGCAACATGAACATTTGGGATGTCACTCCAAACAAGTTACTCCCACAACAAGGCCTTAGGATGTATTTATGACACTGACAATGACTTGTCAGTCAGACCCAATGACTTGCTCATTGAGGGTCAAGTTCTCCAAACATGATATGGTGAACCTTGATAAAAGGCAATGTAGTCTGTACACTAAAAGTACCAACTCATATACCTTGGCATAAATAATACAACAAGTGTTTACGACTTAGAAATAAACATGTTCAACATCCAGACTTCTTTATTCTGCAAAATGTAGTTATTAATTGTGTTAAATCAACTCTTCTTTTGTCATTAACTTGGTGTAATTAGATCATTTTGTCAATTTCAAGCCAAATCAACTTAGAAATTCAAACTGTGTATAATGTAGAATATGAGTTCCTTAATATTAATATTAATTGTTAAATAATTGTTAAATTAACATGTGAAAAAAGTTGTGATAATGTAAGATTAAATTATACATTAAATAAATTGTACAAAAAAGAGATGAAGGGAAATATTTAATATGAGACTTTCTCAACTTTTCCATTTTTACAGTGCATGAAGGCGACGTCTGTTGGCTCAAGTTTCAACATTCTATTGTTCTATTGTTCCATTTTTTCAGAATCTCTTCTGCCTTGAGTTCACATAATGCAAAATCCTGCAACTGTGATATAAGAACAGAGGGAGGACTGAAGTCTCCTTGAGTCATGGAGTCCTTGTTCACAGCTGCATTCTTTGGGCTGAAGTCATGAATACCCTCCTTAGTGAAAGTAAAGTCCGTGGTACTGCGGGCTCAGAACGAAGCTTTATGAGCAATCATATTCTCCCATTTGTGATGGAAAGACTGCTAAGTGTTTGTTTGTTGCCTGGTAAACATCTGCAGCTGATGTAACACTGGAAAATAGCTTTTGGTGTGCACTCAAGTGAGGCGGAGATTAAAGTTCATCTTTGGTAAGAAATCCATGGTGATTGTTTTGATCTTGTGTTGTTATTTTAAATTGTTTTAAATTGTACCCAAAGAAGCAATTGAGGTTTATTTTCCACCTTTATAGCACCCTGTACATTCTGGAGGCTATCAATGATGCAATCATTTAATTAATTCAGAATAGTCGAGGCACACTAATCTGGTTTGTTACATTGTATCAGTTCAATTCCAAGGGCCACACAGGTAGTCAACCTGCTGGGGCCAGATGTTGTTGTCTGATTTGAGCTTTCCTATGCTACTATGCTATTCCCTACCCTGTCAACTAAAAAGGACATTCCCATGCAACAAAACTGCACTATGAATTACCTTTAGAAGGAAAGATATTTTATCGGGGATAACATTTGTGTTTGATGTATCACATGTCTAATGATAGCCTGCGGAAGTTCACGCACGGAGGAAGTCGGGTCGGTGGAACAAACACAGGACTTTAACCCAGGAGACCGCTGTTTGTGTCACATGTGAAACTAAAAGTCAGAATTCACTTATTTTAATTTACATCCATAGCTTGAATAACTTAACAAACTCGTTTCAAAGTGTTTAAAACTGCGACCGTAATCTGGGAGAAAATATGTTTCCCTCCAAACATATTTGAGAATGCAGTTGAGTTGTATGGGAACGTCATTTTGAGACGGTAGTTATTCTGTACGTTAGTAACCCCATGTTGTGATTTTAATCACTTTAATAGAGTAATCTAGAGCTGTGATTACAGGATCACAGTCATGTGAGCTTTGCCATCATTGAATCCATGAAATGTGATAGTTATAATAACACAAAGTAAACAGGATTCAGTTATAATTACGTGTATGAAAACGTTTTGGAAACATATTATCTTATTTGACCATGTTCATTACAATGTTAATACTGCATAATATTTTTACACAAATGGTACCGCAGAAGTAGTGTTATGTATGTTAAAGATTCGCTTTGTTAATTCACTGTTGCAGCCTAATTGTTGTTTTCTTGCTCCTGAAGTTTTCAATAGTTTCAAATGAGCTCTAAACTCTTCAGGATTTTAAATAATCCAGGAAAATAGGAATGTGTGTGTGTGTGTTGGAGCTACAGAAACTTTGTTGGAAATTCATCATCTTAATCTTCTAGTTCTGTCCTTGGCTGCAAGAAATAATCAGGAAATGTACTGCTGTTTCTATTGCTCCCCAACTACTTGCTGACATCTTAGAACTTGTTGTCGAGACTATTTTTTGACTTGCTGAAAAATTCAAGGGCCTGTCTCATTCTCTTGAACTCTCGTTTCCAGTTTCATGTCTTCTCGCTGAACCCGAGCCAATCTTTCCAGTCCCAAACAAACATCTCAGTCTAAATTGGGAGCTCATTAGAGTCTCACACATCCACCGAGAGCATGGAAAAGTGAGACTCTGGGCCAATCTTAGTATGCGTTCTTGTCTGTACTTGTGTTCTCCTGGACTTGTGAAACGTCATCAGTCGGAAAGTACCGTTCCAATTGAAAAGTCTGCATCGGGCCAAGCACGGTCCAAATGCCCGGATGTGACTTGCTCCGCCCATTTTACTGGGGATGCATCGGAGGTGACTTGTGTGTACTTGGGACAGCCAAATATCCCAGAATGCATTTCGCACCAGCAACAGGGAACAATGGCGGAGGAGAAAACACAACTCAAAGTTGAAACTTTAAAGTCATTTTAGGATTTTTGTTTAGGCAAGAAGTTAGTTGTTTACGCATCAAATCTGTGGCTGGTTTGTCAAGATTCAACTTACTTAAAAATCTGCTCCGACAATTCTGACAATGTGAGATGTTGCTAGCGGGAACGGCAGTAAACCAGCACCGGGGGGTCAGCGCTCACGTTACCCGCCCGGGAACAGCCTTATCTCGGCAATAAACCTCGCCAGCGCCGGGGGTTCAGCGGCAAGTCTTTTTGAAACTTGTCGCGTAGCATTGTCCTCGTCGGCAAAGCGTATAGCATTCCGGATCCATATATATAATGAGTTTACTCTGGTTCTTCACTGTAAAGTACTTTCACAACCAAATATGACAAATATATATATATATATATATATATATATATATATATATATATATATACTGTATATATATATATATCATTTATTTTAAATGAAAACGAAAACCTAACCCTAACAAAAGCAGGGTTGTCATATTTAGTTTGATTATAAAAATACTTCACAATAAAAAAACTGATTAAACTCATTAGCAAGACCAGCTGAGGCAGTGATGTCATCAAGTACGCTGCTGTTCCAATTGCAGAATGACTGTACTTGTGTCCTCCCGTCCTTGGGAGTCTGGACTCCCAAATTCAAACTCCCAAGTCCATACTCCAAAGTACACAAGTCCGTACTTGGCATACTTGGTATTGAGAAAGGCCCACTATGAATTGATTTCTCTATATCTGGACTGTAAAAAGCAGAGTGCATTAGCACTAGAGAGGATGAACGCTGCATTTGAGATCAGGAGAGAGGTGTTGAATTAAACAGACATGTTTAACAAGCTGTTAACAGCTCTCACTATCCCACTCCCCCTCCTGTAAGTAGCGGAGACAAAAACCAGCCGCGGCCTGAATGGGAACGAGTTCCCATGAGAAGGCACAGAGAACAGGGCCGCTGTGGAGAGGTGGTGACAGTTCACACAGCGAGACACGAGAGGAGTCCACCCGAGACAAAGAGCAGAAGCTCTTTTGTCTCGCAGCTGGGGAGAGCGTGGCTCAAATCTGTTTAAATGTTATGGCGGGTAGGAATGGTTCTTATGGGCCCCGGGTCCGGAGTGCACATTACATGTTAATGACTTGGAACACAGACAGCAGAGCAGAGGCTCAAACTGCCAATTAAGCATATGCTGCAGACGCCACTGGTGTTCAGACGCAACCATCTGATAGCGCTCAAGCTTGGCCTGCAGATCTGAATCTCTCCATGGGATGTGGAGGCACTCCAATGGTGAGTCATGAGCCACAGACATCTCTGAAAACCACAGAGGAATATAAGCAGCGGCTGATTGGACATCACTCATTCAGCTCCGTCCTCTGTCAATGCTTCATTCTTGGGTCAGGGCTCACCGCTGCCTCTCTGTTTCTCACTAATCTGTTTAGTCTGACGCTTGGTCATGATGTTGTCGATCTGTGAATAAGTAAACAAACTGTACTCCAAAGCTTTAGCACTTCAATTATTCCGTGAAAGTGCTGAACCGCTGAGGAGTGGCTTGTGATTAGAGTGACTTTAGGCTGGAAAATGTGTTATTACTGAAGAGGAAGGAATTCCACACCTATTAAAATGCCAAACTTTTTTGAGCACTGTACCGTACTGTATATGCAGCGCTTATTAAACGAGGGCAAATCAGCTTCTAGGGCAGGCCCGTGCTACCCTCTGCCACCCCTCTTCCCCTGCCCATGTTATAATATTGACCAGCAGTATAATGAGGCTTTTTATGATGAATGAAAAAAAGTCAAAGTGAAAAGAAATCTCTTCCTATTGATCTACACCCAGGGCCAGAGGTAAAATGCAAAACAATTGATTGCACAACTCGCCCACTTCTGGTCAATATTTAGTCGAGGCCCTTCTTGGCAGCAGCTGCAGATTCCAGTGTGTGTGGATAGGTCTGTCTCAGGTTGCACGTCTGTAAGTTTTCCCCATTTTCTTTGCCAAAAGCGTTCAAGCTCTGTGAAGTTGCATGATGCACATGAGTTTGTCTCATGTCCAGCCATCAATTCTGGATTTGATTGGACTTGGCCGATCTGTTC